GCACCGACTAAATTTCTCAAGGATCCCAATTCATAGCTAGCATCAAACTGAATCACCATGACAGATACAGCAGTTGAAAGCTAATATTGAATGCTATGGCCATCACCACCAAATTTTTCTTTGAAACCATGTGCTATGATCCACAGGCAATGAATAAAATACTTTCTCTTCCGTAACATGCATCTTTGCTTCCATTTGTCAGAGGTCAGCAATCTGCTAAGTTATATGGTCATTGCAATGATTATATTCCTCACATAGTCAGCCAGATATTCAGAATGGATTTGGCATTTTTATCCACCTATCGAGTCCTCTCCAAGAACCTGGGATAGGTGGACATTGATGTTTTGTGTTTTATTGTTGTTATCATCATCATTATCATCATTTCATTTTTGCACCCATGCTGCCTATTTCAATTAATCCACTAAAATTTGCCATCGTCATTACAGAATAGTTTTGAGCTGTGTTTAGATTAAAGAAATAAGCAAAAATGTCCAATAAGCCTCTGATAATTTTGTCATCCCAGTTCCACTGTTTTCCAATCTCTCCCCAAAGCTCTTTTAAAAAAACAAACAAGGAAAAACCTTCCACAAAAATCCAATCGCAATTTTAAAAAGTTGTACAATTCCTAGGAAAAATGCTTATATTTAGCTGATTTGAGGAATGCCAACCACCTAGAACCACTTCAAAGCATGTTCTTTGGCATGAAATAAACACAAAGTAATGGTAAGAGTCAGTATCTAAATATGATCGGTATCCAAATCAACCTTAGCAATGCCTGTGATATTTCCAATTAAAACAGAGTCAATTAGAAAAGCAGCCCAATACAATTTTGGAGGACCTGAAGGACCAAATTGAACACATATCACCCTAGAGAAGGTCTAGTTTTCCAATCACTGTTGATGCTGTCTTGATATCACTTAAACACTAAAACATATCTTTAGGATTCATGGTCCACATTTAGGCCAGCAACGTAATTAATTTATGTTCAAGAGAATTGTTGTTGTTAGTTGCAAAGTCATGTCCGACCCATCGTGACCCTATGGACAATGTTCCTCCAGGCCTTCCAGAGAATATATAGCTCTATATGAATACTCTCCAACAAGAATTTTTCTGGAGGCCTACTGATTAAGTAGTAATTGATGGATTTTTAACATTGAATTTAAGTCAGGGAATACTGGGGTGGGCAGATAATCGTAAATATTTCTAAATAGGATAGTGAAACATAATTGAACCCTTTGGTGATGTGATCATAAATCTTAGCTAAGGTTTAGATGCAAAGGTCTGTTTAAGCAGACCTTTGCATCTAAACCTTGGCTAAGATTTAGCTCACTATTAGCCTTCTACTGAATTTTATAGGATTTTATAGGATTTTCCCAGTGAAAGAATAGGTAAGAGCTTACAGGATAAACATACACACAAGTTTTTAATGATGTTGGTGCAAATCTACAAATGCTCCTAAACCTTCTTATAAAGGGCAGGTCATAGAATGCAAAAGAGCATCCTCGTGTGTGGAAAAAGGAAGCCACAGTAAGTGATGTGCACTGCTGTTTTCACTTGTTTTTTTTAACAACTGAGGATTGTTGCAGCCCAACCTGGATACCACGCAGGAGGAAAATAGTAACGGGGAGCTTAAAATCTGATGCCAACAAGAAAAAAAACAGGGAAGAATAGCTACCACAGATTATTAAATAATGGCCACAGCTATTGCCAGATCTAATTTTAGTGCCAGAAATTTCAAATGTCTGGCATTGGCTGGTTATGCTGTGATTTGAGGCAGAACAGCCTAAACAGGAACCTTAATCATGTTTAAGCCCAGCTGTTCTCATAAAAGAAGAGTGAACATGATTCCTTGCAGGGGTTTGTAGAGTATGCTGAGACCTTGTGCCTGTCTAGTTTGTGAAGGCAGACATGAGTAAGGGTTGGGGGATTCTACTGCTTCTGCTGCTTCTCTCCCTAACTGGTATTGGTAAGAGTTTTCCTTGATACTCCATCCAGTTGTGGCTTATGGTAACCAGTTCCAGGTTTATTACACAGTTTCACGTATCATGCACATATGCATATATTCATGATAGGCATTGGAATTGAGACAGGAACTTTTCAGGCAGAGGTAGTATTCAGCAGGTTCTGACCAGTTCTGGAGAACCAGTAGTGGAAATTTTGAGTAGTTCAGAGAACCGGCAAATACCACCTCTGTCTGGCCCTACCCCCATCTATTCTCAGCCTCCCGAGTCCTAGATGATTGTCTGGGTCTTTTGTTGAACAGGATAACGGAGCTGGGAAGCAGGTTAGTGGAGTAGTGGGAAGGGAATGGGATTTTGCAATAACCTTCCCCTAGGAGTGGGGAAGGAATGGAGATTTTACCGTATCCTTCCCCTGCCATGCCCACCAAGCCACGTCACGCCTACCAAGCCTCACTTGTAAAAACTTTTTACGAACCGTAGTAAAATTTTTTGAATCCCATCACTGTTTTCAGGACACACAGACACAATTATGTGAATGAATGAATGAATGAATGAATGAATCAATCAATCAATCAATCAATCAATAGAAATCTCTGAACAGGGAGCTGATTGAAAAACCTTGTTGGAAACTTCAATCACAATTCAATGTGCAGATTTGTTGTAGTAGAGAGATAATGAAATATTATACAACAATTATTCATGGCACAATCTTTTCACTCTTGTCATATTTTACAGCTCTTATTTCTTGATCAATATCACCTGCTTGTCAAATCAACAAACCTCTGTCTTTTCTTTCTTCAATCTCCTCCTTTGGAAAGCAATTTTTACAAGTGTGAAGTTCTGAGCTTGGACACATATTCTCCTGGTTTGGTCAAAAGTTCAGTTATTCATCCCTGCTGCAGTGCTATTGTAAGTTTAGAGTGATTCAAGATTCTAGAAGCTTACTGTGACACCTCTTAAAAATGATTTACTAGAGTTGGTCCTTTGTGCCATGCAGATAAAAATTAGTTTCGGTTTCTGCCAGACCTTGGTTAGATTCATTGCCTTGCAGGGCAAAAACAATGGATATTGGCCTTATATTTTCAATGAAACCATCTATTTTGTAAAATACTTAATCAAGAACATGAATATATCCTCTCTAGGCCTATGCATTAGTCCATTGAGTTATCCAACTTTCATCGTCAACTCAGAATGCTAAACATGAATGAGAAAGGATCCCAGATTAAATAGGAAATTGGAAAAAGATCTGCATTTTTGGTGAGTTTTCAGCTCATAGGTAGACCATATATATGTGCAGAAGGTCCCATATTTAATCCTCAGTATCTCCAGGTAAGGTTGGTAAACTAGAAGTCCATTTCTAATCAATATTGATTGGATTGGCTTTGATGGATGAATGATCTGTTGCAGGAAAAGTTTCTGATATCCACATTTTTTATTTACTATTTATTAGATTTATGTGCCGTACGTCTTGCCTGCAAGCAGAAATGTGAGATATTTATTTTGGCAAAAGTGATCAGATTGTAGGCTGCAGGTAAGATCTCTGATGGACAGACACTACCAGCTAGTGAGAAGTGGCCAGATTGGACTAGAATGTCCAGTGTGATGTCTTTAGTTTGTCTTGGTGAAGTCTGATGTACAACTTGCTAACTTGTATGCAATCAACAAATGATAGTTTAATCAACAAGCCATGGTCAAGCAAGGCTCAGCTTAGGGCAATGTGAGAAGCCTGTCAGAGTCTGCTAAATTCAAAGGTGGATGTTTAAAGGCATTAATGTTAAGGTTTATCAGGGAGATTTTATATCGTTCTTTTTAAATGGCCAAGATGCTGTGGTGGTAGACCAAGCTCTTAAAAGCCTGTCCTGACTGTTGAGTCCTTATCCAACAGGAGGATAAATATACATGTGGAATTGATATGCTGTCTTTGTATTCGTTCCTATGAACAGTTTTATAAAGTGATAATTGGATAGCTGCCTTCTGTATTCTAGTTGCCGGAGGAGCTTCACTTTACTCTAATAAAACAGATTAAAGTAACATAAGAAAAATACAGCTTTCTATTTAACAGCACAGACTGTATTGATTTATGTATTTAAGGGTGTGATTACTTTTTTCTCAGAGTTTGAAATCCCACCCTTTACAAAAAAAAAAAAAAATCTATAGCTAGAGTGGAATTGCCTTTTGAAAGAGTGATCAACCGAGTCTCTGATTATCTAACTCTCTTCTCCACCATTCGTATTCTCAGCTAGATGGCTTCTTCGTTCAAGGCAGGGAAGGGAGATTTGCAAAGAAAACGGCAGGAATGACACCCCACGATAAATCATGTCTAACAGCATCCTGAAAAATGGGCCAAAGACAGCTTGTGCTGTGACAAATACGGCTGACAACAAGTATATACATCTGCTTGGGAGGATTTATGAGAAGGGAATACAAATAAGGCAACGCAACATTTGGGTCGGATAAGTTGTTTTAAAACCACATTATATTATGTGGCTAATAAGGCTGTATTTGAATTGCACGAGCAAATACAAATTATATCTTCCTCTACACACGCTATAGGAAACATCTAGAACTTGGTAACTCTTAGGATTTATTGGCAATTGTTAAGTTTTTAGAAAACAGGGGAAATGAGGATGTCAACACTTTTCTCTAAATTTCAAGGACAGCTGAGTGCTTCTTCTCAATGCTTTTTGTATTCAAGAAAGGCTGATCTCAGTGTATGAACTCTTTAAACTCTTTTCTCTCCCAAGCTAATAATGATCATTCTGTATCCTGAATCAACCAAACACCTCTTGTAAGTGCTCAGATTTCATTTCATTCGGTATAGGATATTTATTGTGGGGCAACAGGAAATATAAGTGTGAGCCATACAATTCTTACAACAAACATTTCTCTCATTTACTATTAAGCATTTTGTTAAAAAAAAAAAAAAGGTGGGGGAACCCAACAACCTAAAACATCTTCATCAAAAGTATCTTGAGTCAGAAAAAAAGGGTGGTTTTCTTTTCTTCTTTTTAACTATTTCTCAGCTCTAGGAGGTCTTCTTTGCTTTTGTGGCACATATACTAAAATTGAAAGGATACAGAGAAGATTAGCATGGCCCCTGTGCAAGAATGGCATGCAAATTATATGAAGCATTCCATATTTTTGTACAACTATTTGCCTGAAATGTTATAGGGGTTGGAGTAGAAGACCTCCAAGGTCCCTTCCAACTTTGTCAGGTAGTCCTTGACTCACAACCATTCATTTAGTGACCATTCGGACTTATAACAGCACTGGGGAGGGGAAAAGGACTTACAACCAGTACTCACACTTACAACTATCCCAGCATCCCCATGGTCACATTGTTGGAAGAAATATCCTTCTGAGTTCAGTTCCAAGTGGGGAAAAAGTCACTGGATACATGGAGGCTGTTTGGAAATGGTGGACAGGATGACATGGCTTGGAGCTCCAAAGTAAAAAGGATGATCACATGCTTCAAGATGTTGGGTGAACGAAAAAAAGGGCCAAGGTGCTGAGAGACCCTTGGTTATATACTCTCTGTTGGGCCCCACCTTAGTGTTTCCTGTTCCTGTGTAAGAAATGAATCCCATTGGCTGTCAGACTCCTAGGGGCGAGGGTCTTAGCTGGATCACATGACTTTACCTGAGTGCTGCCCAGGTGGTGAGATGGGTAGAGGCCTTTGTTATGTAGAATACTCTGGCCAAGGCCTTAATGGCCTGCCCATTAACAAAGGTGGGGGTGAGCTTCTGCTTCTGAGATGAGTTTCTGCTTCTGAGTTTCTACTTCTCTTTTTAGGGGAAATATTCTGCCTTTTCAATATTTCCTAGGATATTTCATTTTTCTAGGAGAGGGGTAGGCGCTAACTTCCTACAGCATGATCAAAATTTGGACTCAGGAATCATGTGGTCATCATCCATGATCTTCCCAGCCAGATTTAGACAAGCAGAGTCAATAGGGGAAGGATATTTCCTTAATAATTGTGTGATTGTCTTAACTGCAATGATTCACCTAACAACCATGGCAAAAAAAAAAGGTTGTAAAATTGTACACGACTCGTTAAATGACCACGGTTGTTTAACAATGGAAATTGTGGTCCCAACCACAATCAACCTGTAATTGATTGATTACATGCCATCAAATTTATGGCGACTCTCGGTGGCCACATAGATTTTCTTAATCTTAATCGCTTAATGCTCTACATTTAAATTGTAGAGCACTGTTAGTTCATTCTCTCGAAGAATGAAGCAATAATGCTCTACAATTTAAATGAATTTCTGGTTTTTATTTCTTTGCATGGAAAAGAAGGCAAATTTACCTCTTATTAGTTATTTTTCTGAACCACACTGATTGGCATTTTAGGTTTCAAGATATTAGGAATTAGTCTTTTCCTGTTTCATCTTTAGAGGTCAACAACCTGTGAGTGGAGTAGTAAATGAAAGAAAGTGACAGTAATGTCTGATGGAAAGTAGACTTTCCTCAATTTCTTAGGCTTTCCAGAATGTATTATATATATATATATATTATATAT